AGGAGGAGGAGGTGGTGGAGGAGAGAGAGGAGGAGGAGGAGGAGGAGGAGGAGGAGGAGGAGGAGGAGGAGGAGGAGGAGGAGGAGGAGGAGGAGGAGGGAAACGACTCCGGACCATCGAGGCCGCGGGACGGGGGGGCCGCCAGGGTGACACCGCCGTGGAGCGAGCGGCGCAGCCCACGGTGTTCAGCGCCCGTCTCCTACGACGGGAAGGGGCTGGCATCAGGTCGGGCCTGTCCCCCTACAGGGGGATTCGAACGAGAAAAAAATAGTCAACAAAACGCATTCAAAAATAGTCCAAAAATCGTCCCCAGGCAATGATTCACTACTTTTGAATATTCCTCCTGTAGAGGGACATGCCCGACTTAAGGCTAGCAGCTACTCAGCGACCGACGCCTGCAGGACGGCACTGGCACGCAGAGGATACCTACTCCGAGTTTATCAATCAGCGTCGGGGGGGCCTCAGCCCCGCCGACAGGCCCACATCGACACCTGTCGCGGACAGCCACCGCGCGCCGAAGGCGCTCCGACCCCCGTCGCGGCGCGACGACGAGGCGAGGTTGACCCCCGTAGGGGGGTACCCCCCCGCGCTTATTAAGAAGCCCAAGGTACATACGATACCGGAGAAAAAAAAAAATCTGAATATTCTTGGGGTTATAGGGCTATGGGGCTATAGGGCTATAGGGCCATAGGGCTATGGGTCTATAGAGCTATAGGGCTGTAGGGCCACAGGGCCATAAGGCTACGGGGCTGTAGGGCTATGGGGCTATGGGGCTCTGGGGCTATGGGGCTATGAGGCTATAGGGCCATGAGGCTATTGGTCTATAGCGCTATGCGGCTATAGGGCTATATGACCACAGGCCTATAGGGCTACAGGGCTATAGGGCTGCAGGGCTGTAGGGCTGTAGGCATATCGAGCTATAGGGCTATAGGGCTGTAAAGCTATAGGGCTATGGGGCTATAAGGCTATAAGGCTGTAAGGCTATAAGGCTGTAAGGCTATGAGAAAACACACGGGGGGCCGAAAAGCGCTACCCGAACACATATCCCAGTGATGTTTTCTTGCTCTGGACAGGGGGTGGCGCTTTGGGAGCCTCTCCAGGGAAGACAATGCGAAGATGTCTCGAGTGGGAGCGCGAATTCAGCGTATCCAGACCACACAGGGGGATATCTAACATGGTTGTCCCGAGCTGGAACCACGTGTTTTTACATGTCCTGGCCACCCAGGGGGGTATCCAACACGATTGTCCCGACCAAAGACCACATGTTTTTACGTGTCCAGGCCACTCAGGGGTGTATCTAACATGATTGTCCCGAGCTCGCACCACGTGTTGTTACGTGTCCAGGTCACCCAGGGGGTGCATCTAACGTGCTTGTCCCGAGCAAGGACCACGTGTTCTAACATGTCCAGGCCACCCAGGTGTGTATCTAACATGGTTGCCCAGAGCTGGCACCCACGTTTTTTATGTGTCCAGGCCGCCCAGGGGGGTATCTAACATGGTTGTCCCGAGCTGGCACCACGTGTTTTATCGTGTCCAAGCCACCCAGGAGTGTATCTAACATGGTTACCCAGAGCTGGCACCATGTGTCTTTACGTGTCCAGGCCACCCAGTCGGGTATCTAACATGATTGTCCCGAACTGGAACCACGTGTTTTTACATGTCCAGGCCGACCAGGGGGGTATCCAACATGGCGTCGGGCCCAACGCCGAATTATGAGGTAACGCACGGGGGGCCGAAAAGCGCTACCCGAACATATGTCCCAATACAGAAAAATGATGTGTTCTTGCTCTGAACAGGGGGGTGCGCTTTGGGGGCCTCTCCAGGGAAGACATTGCGAGGATGTCTCGAGCGGGAGCGCGAATGCAGCGTATCCAGGTCACGGAGGGGGGGTATCTAACATGGTGTTTGTTCATGCTCAGGCCACCCAGGGAGATCTCTAACATGATTGTCCCGAGCTCGCACCACGTGTTTTCACGTGTCCAGGCCACCCAGGGGGGTATCTAACATGGCTGTCCCGAGCTGGCACCACGTGTTTTTACGTGTCCAGGCCACCAGCACGACGCTTGTCCCCAGCACGTTCTGTAGCAAGTCCCCTTGGCACGTCCCGCGGTGCGTCCCCGTGGCACGTCCCCTGGCATGTCGCCTGGCGCGTCCCTTGGAACGCTCCGCGGCGCGTCTTCCTAGCATGCCCCCCTGTGAATTAGCTCTGGGGCAGCTACAATGTGGACTATGAGCTCAGGCAGCTAGAGCTTAAGATCCAGATCAGTTCGGTCAGGACTCGTATGCAACGGAGGACTCGATCCACAACACTACAGAGCACAATCGCGGCATGGCACATCGCAGTTCAGCACGGCGCAGCACAGCACAGCCCTCGGCACGGTACATGAAGATCGATACACTCAGCACTGCATCTGCCCGTCGCCCAATCAGATGTCTTTGAAACGTTGCCATGTCTTACATTTCCATATTCCTTTCCGGGTTCGTGGGCCGATCATGGGTTTACTTTGAAGGATGAAAATCAACGACCCTACCCTGGGTTACAACTGCGTGGTCGGTAAGCCTTCTGGGAACCCCCAAAGCCTAGAGCCGCCAGGACGCGGCACATCACGCAGGGTTTACCGCGTCAGCCCACGGATGTTTCAGCGCACAGCGCCTCGTAAGCCAGGGTAGGGGCGTCTTTATGCCCTTGATTACTATCTTGGAATTGTGACATGCCCGACTTACGACCACCCCCCCCTCCGGTCTCCCCCCCCTCCGTCGCCCTGCCTGTCGCCGAGAGCTCGGCTCGGGGGACGGCCGACGGCCGGGGCCTCCGCCGAGGGAGACGAGGAGGGGCGCGGGGACGGACTCCGAGCAGGCTCTGGCCTACCCGCAGGAGCAGGAGGAGGAGGAGGAGGAGGAGGAGGAGGAGGAGGAGGAGGAGGAGGAGGAGGAGGGGGGAAGAGGAGGGAAGAGGAGGAGGAGCAGCAGCAGAAGGGCGGGAGAGGGGCGGGAGGAAGGAGGCGGAAGGCAGGAGGATGAGGAGGCAGGAGCCGGGAGGGGGGAGCAAGGAGCGAGAGGAGCGAGGGGGGGGGACAGAGGAGGGGAGAGGGGGAAGAGGCAAGCGGGACGGGAGCGGGAGCGGGGAGCGAGGAACACCGAGGGAGGAGGGAGGGGGGGGGGAAGGAGGAGGGGGGGCGAGCCTGCTTTCAGCTGGGGCTGGATCTCCGACTCCCAGTACGGCATCACGCGCGTGATCGTGTCCTGGGGCGCGCGCCGCGCCCAATTCCCTCCGCCCGCGCGCCTCCCCCCGGTGGCCCCACCGGGGGGGCCCCCGGGGAGAAGTGCCCCGGGCAGGTCCCGGCAAGCTCGGGTCGGACACGTATGATAGGGGCCCTCGGCGCAGCTCCAGGGTGGTCCTGCAGAGGTCCCGAGGCGGGCATCAAGGCGGCCCCCCGCGTGGCCCCCAGGACGGCCCAACATGGCCCCCAGGACGGCCCCAAGAGGGGGCCCCAAGGCGCGAAACCATTGACTTCCCGTTGGCTGTTCTGAAGACTTCAGCGGTTCCTTGCTCTGGACTTCCTGCAGCCTCAGACGGCCCAAGAGGCCCCCGAGATCGCCCAAGACGGTCCCCAAGGGGCCCCCGACAGGGCTCCAAAACGGCCCCCAAGAGGGCCCCACGACGGCCCGACAGCCCCCCCCACGGTCCAAGAGGCCCCAAAAGAGGGTCCGAGACTGCCGGCAGGATCTGAGGAGCTCCCCAAAGTCCCATGCAGGGGCTCCCAATAAACCCTCGAGAAGCCCCCAAGAGGCCCCAAATAGGTTCCAGGAGGCCGCAAGAAGCCCCCAGGAGGCCCCCAAATACGCATCCGAGAGGCTCCAGAGAGGTGCTCCGAGAGAACCCGAGAGGCATCCAACACGCCTCGCCCCTGTGCCCTGGGCACCGAGCGGAGCGCCCTCGGTTGAGATCTCTGACTTGAGCATTGTTGCTGCTAGTGAAGCGGGGCCCGGGCCCAGATTCACGGGCGCTCTTTGGGTGCCTGCGGGCACGCTCGGGGCGGCTCGGGCTGCCGTACTGCTCCGGAGGCCTCGGGAGCGCGGCGGTGATCCCAAGCTTCCTGCACGGTCTAGGAGGAGGAGGAGGAGGAGAAGGTGGAGGAGGAGGAGGAGGAGGAGAGGGAAAATGAGAAGGAGAAGGAGGAGGAGGAGGAGGAGGAGGAGGAGGAGGCCTCGGGAGCGCGGCGGTGATCCCAAACTTCCTGCACGGCCTAAGGTGGTCCAAGGGACAGTCACCCAGAGCCCTCGGGGCTCTGAAAGGCTCGCAACGAGGCCGCCCCCGAGGCCTCCGAGAGCCCCCCAAAAGAAGCCCACCGCAACAGCCGCGGAGAGAGAGAGAGAGAGAATGACCAATCTGCAACAACTGCGCGCGGGCAGCACGACTGGAAACGACAAACAACACGTATAATATCGGGAGCCGCACGCGTCCTCTTTCTCAGGGTCGGCGGAATTGCGTGAGCATCCTGAATGTACCCCCTGGCGAGTCCCCCCTGGGAGGCCTGAATGCAATGCCTACTGCATCGCGATCATCACGGGGCTCTCAGAAGAGACGCGTGGACCCCGCCGAAACTGCAAGTCTATCGGAGAGAGGACCCGACTATCTGGACGCGAACGGGCCCGTGATGTTCACCCATGACAGGTCCCCCTTGGGAAGCCCCAGCGCCATTTCTGCTGCATCACGACGATCACCGGGGCTCTTGGAAGAGACGCATCTACCACCAGAACGGCCAATTCTACCCGAAAGGTCCCGACAATCCGGACGCAACCCGGCCCGTGATACACACCCTGGTGGGTCCTACTTGGGAGGCCCAACTTGCATGCCTGCTCCATCGCGATTACCATAGGGTTCTGAAAAGAAACGTGCTTACCCAGCAGAAACGGCCATTCTACCCAGACGTCCCGACAATCTAGGCGCGAACGGTCCCGTGGTATACCCCCTGGGGAGTCCCCACTGGGAGCCTCCAGTATAATGCATGCTACATCGTATATGTCAATATGAATATCACTTGGTCTGAGCAGGAGGAGTCTCAGTATGAGTGAGTCTGAGTACGAGGAGTCTGAGCGTGAGCGAGTCTGTGTCAGCGAGTCTGAATAGGAGTAGACGTAGCATTGGTGAGTGAGTGCAAGTGAGTCTGAACATGATTGAGCCTGGTCATGATTGAGTCTGAATATGAGTGGACTGAATACGGCTGGGTGCGAATGGGTACGAGCATCGGTAAGTCTTAGTGTGAATGGGTCCGAGTGTCAGTGGTATGAGTATCGGTGACTCTAAGAATGGGGGAGTCGAAGTGAGAGTCTGAATATGGGAGGGGGATGAAGAAGGCGGGAGTGAGTGAGTGAGTGAGTGGGTGAGTGAGTGAGTGAGTGGGTGGGTGAGTGAGTCAGACAGCGGAAGCACAATACTAAGAACGAGAAACCCCATGATCACTTAGGATATGTTTAAGAAACTCCCCCTCTCTCTCTCCTTCCCGTTCCCCGCCTGACCCCTCCTCTCCCGCTCCCCCCGCCCCCCTCCATCTCCCCCTTCCAACCCTGCACCTTCTGCGGTACTCGGCTTAGCTGGACCTTCGAGGGCAGGCCCCGGGACAGAATAATGTTGCTGCAACAACGGTCTCAAGGGGGTTTCTTGCGACAGCAACGGAAATCCGAACGATTTCGATGCGAGTCCAACTTCACGTTTTGTTTCAGTATACGGATTCGGATCGGCGATGGTAGCCTTAAGCCTCATCGTTCCTATCTCTCTATTAGCCGCGTTCGATACAATCTCTTCTTCTCGCATGTTAGCCGCTGACCTTTCACTCTTCCACAGGTCGCATCTAGAGCATCTCCTCGTACTCGCATCGATATGCTCGTTGCAAGCCGAACTGTCACATCCGACGCAGTTGTCTGTCTTTGGTCGAAAACAAACCGCACAAACTTGGTCCATGGGAAGCGCGTTCCCATTCCCATCGGGAGGAGAGCGCATGGCACCTCCTACCAGCATGGTCGATGCTCCCGCAATTGCCACGGTCGCCTGGTCGAACTGCGTATGGGCAGGCGCGATGCTCGACGACTGAGC